GCACCATTATAAAACAAATGTTTAATTTCAGATATGAAAGTATGTTTGTAGGGCAGAAAAAGGCATGAGTGGATTTCTTCATCTTCTAAGCAAAATTCCATTACAACAAAAATTTCTGTAAAACAAACTATTTTCTAGCCCCAACTGGTAGCCCACTTTTTTTTTTTTTTTTTTTTTTGGTACGCAGGCCTCTCACTGTTGTGGCCTCTCCCGTTGCGGAGCACAGGCTCCGGACGCGCAGGCTCAGCGGCCATGGCTCACGGGCCCAGCCGCTCCGCGGCATGTGGGATCTTCCCAGACCGGGGCACGAACCCGTGTTCCCTGCATCGGCAGGCGGACTCTCAACCACTGCGCCACCAGGGAAGCCCTAGCCCACTTATTTTAAAGGTAGTGTTGGATATAAGCAATACCACAGCAAAGGAAGAATTTAGAAAATTCCTTTTATAACATAACATTGTAAATCAACTACACTTCAATAAAATTTTTTTTAATTCCTTTTAGACACTGGGTGAAAATATTTTGAGGCAGTGAATATGTATTTGTTATACTAGTGGGCAAATTAAAGTCGGCTAACAGTCGAAGGGTAAAAAAAATAAACACCTTAGTAAAGAGTGAGAGCTTTTCAACTATATTTCAATTAAAAAAAAAGAGTGAGAGCTTTGAGGTCAGACTGCCTAGGTTTAAATCCTGGCTGTACTACTTAGTAATTGTATGACCTTGAATGTTTCATCTGTGTAATGGGGATTAAAGGGCCCAGCACACAGTACATCAAATAACAATTATTAACACTTGTTATTTAGAATTTTAAATACACAGTATTTTAATTTCTTTCATCTTTGGTTATTATTTTCATTTTGTAATTCTTCCAGCATGTCTTATTTGTAAAGGCATTTACGAATAAGTAAGAGTGATACAGTAAAACCTAAGTTATCCAAAATGCTTGGGAAATGAATCACTCTGGATAGGTAAATTTTCTATAGGGTACCTTTTTTTTTTTTTAGACGTTGGGGGTAGTAGTTTATTATAGGGTACCTTTATAGGTATCCAAAAAAAAAAAGAAATCAACAAATGGGATAAATTTATTTCCTACCCTATTACACACTTCCATGCCTTCTTAACAACAGTATACTAGTGGTAAACTTTTTCTTAATAAATCACTATTATTATGAATATCAATTATATTTCCATGTTAAAATGTCACAATCCAAAGCTTACCAACAGTAATATGCCTACTTGATTCCACCTAAGGTTTTTTAACATTAAGTCCATGAATAGAATTCAGGGGGTGTGTGAAATTGAATGGGAAAAAAAAAATTACATCTTTATTTTTACTAATCTCTAACTGAAAATTAGCATTTCCTTCAATTATGACTGAAAGCACCAAAGAGCTGCACCTATGTCTGTATCTCCAATAGGAATCACAGATCCTTTATATCACATTACAACTGTTGCAAACTCTGGAAATTTTATGTTCATCATTATTTCAAAAATTTGGTCTTTATTAGACCCAACACTAGATCTTACAGTGTTAATAAAGCCCATATATTCCTATATCAAAAGTTTGTTTTTCTTGAATATTTTGAGCTTGTTTCAATTTTTTTTCTTTTGTAATGCTATGAATTTTATTTTATACATTTAAAAGCATAATTCTGAGAAGAGTCCATGGCTTCACCAGCCTGCTAATGTGGTTTGTGGCTCAAAAACAGTTAAGAACGCTGACCTCAAATTTGTCTCACTCTTCTGTGCTCTGTTAATTCAGAGCATTGATGTGGTCCATTATATTTTCATACCAAAGCTTGTTTAGATTAGGGTAGTTACAAATTAGCTTCTCTAGGACTTTTCTTCATGCACCTCCTGGATTTTGTGAGTTCCCTCTGAGTAGGTAGGAATGTTTCCTACCATTCTTTTTTTTTTTTTTTTTTTTTTTTGGGGTACGTGGGCCTCTCACTGCTGTGGCCTCTCCCGTTGCGGAGCACAGGCTCCGGACGCGCAGGCTCAGTGGCCATGGCTCACGGGCCCAGCCGCTCCGCGGCATGTGGGATCTTCCCGGACCGGGGCACGAACCCGCATCCCCTGCATCGGCAGGCGGACTCTCAACCACTGCGCCACCAGGGAAGCCCTCCTACCATTCTTATACTTGGCTTTTGAAAGAGCAAAACAAATAGAGGGAGAAATAAGTCAAATAAAATTAGCTTCGGATAGTATTGAAAGTAGAAATCTAAAACATCCTACCCTCCCACTTTCTAAATTAAGAGACAATAAATACTCCATTCAATAAATACTCTGATATTAACTGCATGGGTTCAAATTCTACTTCTGCTATTTATCAGCTTTGTGACCGTGGGACAGTAACTTAATCTCTCTGTGCATCAATTTCTTTATTTGTGAAAAGAGGTTAATAAGCACTGTACCTGGTACATTATAAATGTTCCATAAATATTACTTATATTTATTATTATTCTTATAGATTTGTTTCACACTATGGCCAGCTAATGTTTGACTGACTAATAACTTACATTTATACAGTACTGTAGTCTACAGTGCCCTTTTACATGCATTATGATATCTGAAGCATATGATAACCCTGAGAAAGGACAGCTATTATTATACCTACTTTAGTGTTGAAGAAACTAGGTAACCACACCAATATCACACAAATGGGAAGCAATGGAACAAGAACTCAAACCTGCATTTCTTCTTTCACTCCAATTGTCTAATCCTGTGTTTCTACTGTATTAGACTGATTAAAAGAGAGAACAAAAGGAAGCTTATTTAGGAAAAAAGGAGGGGGCAGAGGTGTCCAGCAGGCCATGAGGTGAGCACTTTGGTGCTCTGGTACTCACAGGGTGGTCCTCTGAGTAATCTGTATCTTGTTAGAATTACAGAATCTCAGGCTCCACCCCTGGCCTACTAAATCAAAATCAGCATTTCGAACACATCCTAGGTGATTCCAAGATACTAGTTTGAGAAGAACTGTTCCACTAATTGCTCTAGTGATGCTGTTATGGTCACTTGAAAAATACAAATTTACCACAGGCTTAATAAGTTTTTATTAAGTAATATTTTATAGTAGGAGGAAATAGCTTCCTGCTTTCCCTTAAAAGTCAAGTATATTTAAAAAACAAATTTATATTTCCATTTAATTCTTAAAGATCTCTACTCTCTTAAGTGGGGTCATTAAGGAACGTTAGAAAACCATAAGCAGGTCAGTTCTTACTTTCCAATGCCCTATAAAATTAATCTTACTACCCTGTGCCCTAAGTATGATATACCAGAAAGCAAAATCACCTCTCCATCCTTTTCACCGGCAGAATAAAACCCCGTATTTCTCTCCCTGGATATTTCAGTAAGTACTGAGTTTTTCGGACCCCAAACTCTTATTTCTTGAATGAGTTTTGCAACTTTCTGGCTCTAGGGATTGAAACACAGCAACAGAAGAAAAAGGTATTAAACCTACTCCCATACCTAAACCTTAGCGATGGTGATCGTTGATTACAGAGGCAAGTAAACAGCCCGTCCCAATCTCCCTACCCTCCCTCCTAATCAGTTCACAGTTGAGCTTGATTTCTAGGCTGCTCTAATTCTGGGGTCTGGTCAATGGTCACTCTGTTCTCAGGGCTGACCCTCTAGGCCCTAGGGTCAGAATAGCACTAGGATTCCGCACGTGGGAGCGCTGATCAGCTGCCTGCCCGGTTCTATTTGAAATAACTGTTCCCATTTTGAGGGGCGACTCCTCCCACAGGTTAACCAGCCCAGGCCGGCAGGCGAGCCAATATCGCTCACCTGCTGCACCGGAAACTTCAAAAGCCCGAGTCAACGTAGACTAAAGGTATCCGGTAATTAACCCATAGTACCTCCCACAGCACATTCCTGACTGAGCGCCTGACAGAGGGATGTGTCGGCTCGCGCTCTTACCAGTGCGGGAAACTCCATTTCCTCTCCCTCCCACCAATATAAGCATTCAGGGGCGGTGCTTCCCGGCCACGGCCCGCCCCAGGTCGATCCGGTGCCCCATTGCATCTCGCGAGAATTTGTGGATTTGGGGGCGGGCCCCTATCAGGAAGAGGGCACAAAACTGCCCTTAAGTCATTGCAGCGCTACAGCTCCTGTTAGCCAGCCACGAGATTCTCGCGAGATCCGCCTCCTCAATACCAAGTGAGGAAATTGGGGGACGCTGTCGGGAGGGGCATGGGGCTCGACCGCGCAGCTGCCGCTTCCATTACCTTCCTCCCATGGTCTCCTTCCGGTTCTCGATGCTTCTCTGAGTCTAAGGGTTTCCGCCGCTCGTCTACCCTTCCCCCCAGCCCATGACCTGCCTCCGGCCCCCGCCCTCCCAGTCCAACCTCCGATCTGTTTAGTAAGAAGGTGCTGTTCCGAAAAGGAGAAGGGGGTTGGCACAGATACGCTCGGCCCAGGACCTGGGGAGCAAGCCGTCCTCTTTCGCCCTTAGATTCGCGCCGCGCTCGCGACGGCGGCGTTGGCGGACTGATACGCGGCGGTGAAGAGGCAGGAGGAGGGGGGAGGGGCGGAGCGTGGCAGCTGGCAGTAGTTCCGTCAGAGCGGACATCTTGTGGCTGTGTCGTGCGCGTGAGCCCCGTAGGGCCGGGGAGGCACCAGCTGCCGCGCGGGGAGGAGGCCGAGGCCGCAGCTTGAGGGAGGCCCCGGCCCCTCTGTACGCGTGGGTGTGGACGGCTAGGGGAAGGGAGGCCGGCCCAGTGGCCGGCCGGGTAAGGAGGGAAATACAGGCCCTCGGTGGCTTGAGTGACCAGCCTGTTGGGTGGGGTAGGGTGGGAAGGCTGGGGACGCCGGGGCCTCTCCCGTTTAAGGGGGAGGGGGAATGGGCGCGTCCTCGCACCTAAGCCGGAGCCTCAGGGGCAGCTCGGGCGCGTGGTGGCGGTGGCTGGGCGGGCGGGAGCGCGCGGGAGCGCGCTGGAAGGCGGAGTGTATGGTGGCGTCAGGGCCGACACAGCATAGCTCTAGCTGCGGGGACAGCGGTACACATCCAGCCTCTGATTTATTTCCTTCCCCTCCCCGGCCGCACTTTTGAGCAGCGGCCGAAAGAAGCCGGGCGTCAGTCCGGAGTCTCCTGTTCTCCCCTCCCCCCTTGCCTTTCTTTGCCCTAGTGACGCCGGCGTAGCGCCGACTAGGCCCCGGCTCCTCCTCTGCTGGGCCCCGGACCCTGCCCCGCACCCACCCCTTTCTCCTACGCCTCTTCCTTTCCCACCCGGGTCTCTTCCTTTCGAGAGGCCGGGAAGTCACAGTTGGAGCCACCCCTCCGCTCTTCCCGGCACCCTCGCCCCCTCTTCGGGCCGAAGCTCGGCATAGAGGCTGTCGGTGGCTCTGCCGCCCCACCCACCCCGGATCGCGACCGTTTTTGAGGGACTTGGACTCGTCAGGGTCTCTGCGGGGCCTGTGCGAGTGCTGATCTGCTCCGTTTTTGCAAAAGGCGCCTGTGTCTGGCAGAGCCGGTGTGAGACCAAGAGACAATCCTTCCCAGCCGCCGGGATAATCAAGAGTTTTGGCCGGAACTTTGAACACACACCGAGATAGTGAGGAGCCAGACGAAAAGCACAGACTATGGCGCTGAAACGGATTAATAAGGTAACCCATGGGGCGGAGGGAATGGGGGCGTGAGAGAAAAGGAAGGCCCAGCCAGGAGGGAGAGCCTTGGCATTGGGGGGGGGGCGTATAATTTCGGAAAGACTCTTCCTTGGGTCACTTCGTCCATTGGGGGATGGGGAACGCGGCTGTACTTTAAGAAGAAGCGAGGGGGAAAACTCAGGAACAGAGCACTTGCGGCAAGTGAGGTGTTATCTTGAGCGTGTTTCAATGGAATCGGTGCAAATTAGCGATGAGGGAGAGTGGTGATTGCAGGCGCCTCGATTCTTCGAGAAGAAGAGTTTAGTCCCTCTTCGGAATTGCCGGGAGACGCTCCCGCAAATGTCACGGCGCTTCTTATTCTCGGGGCTTGGAAACTTATTTTAGTTGTAAGATCAAGGCTCCAGGCCTTCTGGAAGAAGAGACGGGGGAAGCTCAGAGGAGAGAAGACCTAAGAAATGCGGCGGGTGCCGAACGTGATTAAGGGGTCGGGGTAGAAGTCTCACTGGCTGAAGAGTAGTGAATGGGCCTGGCCAGAAACTGCTCGACTCTGGGCAGCTTGCACAGGAGTAAGTGGGGCTGGGAGGAGGTGGGCTGACACAGTGTTGCCGCTTTCTGTGTTTTGTAGTTGCGGCTTTTCACCCGAAACTGTTCATCAGAGGCGCGCCGGGAACTGATGGAAAGCCGTTCTGGAAGCTCCGTTTTGCTTTGGCGGGGGAGGGGGGGGAGAGTGTGGTGGCAGCGAGAGGAGGGTAGGTGTACCTATGTCCGCCTCAGTCCGTTTCATAGCAGCCTCCGGGGAAATTGTTAAGCTATTTAAAACGAGGTTTGATGGTACACTGTGGATCCGTGTTGGAAAAAATAGGGTTTTTCGAGGCTCGGTGGGTGAGCGGAACCTCCACCTCCGGTGGTTTAGTCTCATTTTCTTGCTCTAACTTCTATCCCGCATTTTAAGATGGCGGCTGCTTTAAGTGGTTCAGGCTCTTTCCGGCATCTCTTTTCGTAATAATATGAAATAATATTCTTTGTTAAATGTTAACTTTTACATCAGGTTGTACACTGCCCTAAGATCTCCTGCTCGAGACTTATCTATATTCAGACTCTCAGACTGTATTTCCCTTTTTTGTAACTTGTGTGTGATGTGTTTGGTTCTTGCACAATCGAGGAGGGTGGAGTATTTACAGCTAACTTGAAAAAAATGCCATGGAATAAATTCAGCCTTACTGAAACTAGGAAATAGAGGAGGTTGTGGATTACAAACTTTGGTTTTGATAGGTTGCTTTTTAAATAGTTTACATGGACGGAATGGCAAGGACTTGGCTTTACTAAAAATAGACCTGATGCTGCTTAATTTTACATTTATTTAACGTGTGACTTTGGAACTTATTTGGCAAAACTGGTATCTTATGAATGATGAAAGTTTAGATTCAAAGTATTGATGTTGAAATGGTAAATTTTGATTTAGGCCATCACTGCATTGTCTCTGGGGGCTTATGTGAAATACAAACTTCAGTCTTTGTATTTTTGAGACCATGGAAAAAGAGAGGAGTTTAGGAGTTAAGGCTTAAAGTACAAAGGATTATTAAACATCTCTTTCTATGACCACTTTGAAGGCCAGCAACACACTGGAGAAGCATAGTTATATTTTGCAATATAGTTGAACGTAGTATTCAGTACAAATCAAAACCTTTTATCTATAGGAATTAATTCGGGCCACTAAGATGTGGAATAATTTCAAATCCATAGATTTTTATGCACGTGGAACAGAACACTTTAAAGGAAGGTCTCATTGATTTTTTTTCTTTTACAGGTGATACCCAGCTGCTGTGACACCACTTTAATGATTTAAAAGCTCTAGAGAGGCAGTATAATGGTTAGGAGTGTGAACTTCGGAGCAGAAATGCTCCAGTTAGAATTCTAGGGCTCGGCAAATTTACTTGTGTGCCTCTATAAAATGAATATTTGTTGTGTATGACCTATAAATAATTGAGTGTTTGGTGTGTACCAGGCACTATTCTAGACACTAGGGTTGCAGCAGTGAGCAAAACAAATTTTAGAGTCCAAGATTTTTCTTAAGGATTAAATAAGTTAATGTGTGGCTTTAAACAGGCCCCTAGCACAAGGCACTCAATTTATTACTGCAACTTTAATTTTCAAGAGCTTTTATTAAAGAACTTTTCGAGTCTAGTACTCTTCATCAATACCAGATTGTCTCCTTTTGTAAATACTTTGAAGATCTGTGTAATACAGAAACTTGACATAACACTCTCCAAACTGGAAAAAAACAGTGTTGATGTGGGACATTTTTGATTCAACCTGTAGAAAAGTTTTGTTGTGCATGTGGTTTGGTCTTAAGCTGTCACTGTCAGAATCATATGGTCAAACTTTAAAAAAAAAAAAGTCCCAGATTCAAACAGTTTTAGCAAGTGGACAACTCTGATGGGAGATGCTCTTTATTTTAGGCACATCTCTTTTATTTTTAATTTATTCTTGTCTGCAGCCCCCCAGATTCTGAATGTTAAGATATATCTGTTCCTCACTGATCATTTTATTGGAATGCTTATTGTTGGAATATTTTTAATCAATAGCAGTTCATTTGATTAAGCTTTTAAATTTGTTTTCTTTCTAAAGCTTATGTTGTAGTTTTTTTGAATATTTCTTAGACCAAGCAGCCTTATCAAACAGCCCTATTCTTTTTTTTTCCCCCCCTTGTATTCTTTATTTGGACAAGCTATGGTCTTATAAGGCTGTCAACAAGAATAAAATATGTGAAGTCCCTAGTTGGTTGGTGGTGTTTGGGAGCCAGAGGCAGTTTTACTACTCTGATCAAACAGAATGACCACAGTGCATGTATTTTGGGGATGTTTAAAGAGAACTTTACATAAAATGTAATATGAACCAAACCTGAAAGAATAGCTCATGCTTTGAGTGTTTGCAATGTGTCAGAACTGTTTGAAGCACTTGAATTAACTCTTATGACACCCCCAAGGAAGTAGGTATAATTAATATCTCCATTCTAAAATTAGAAACCTAAGGCACAGAGAGGTTTAAAAAAAAAAAGGGGTCCTCATATCATGGCAGAGTTGGGATTAGGACCTAGGCAATTTGGGCTCTGCAGTGTGTGCTCTTAACCACTACGTTGTCATGTCATCTTTTTAGGGTTTTGGTATTCTAAAAGTTTTCTTTTGTATGCATCATTCTCCTAACAGCTAGACTTAGCATCTGCTCTGTATTGAACACTGTTTCTAAGCCCTTTATGAGTATCTACTTATTTAATTCTCACAACAACCACATGAGATGGATGCTCTTACCATTCCATTTTATACGTGAGGAAACAGGTATAGAGTGAGTTACTTGTCTGTGGTCAGATGGCTGGTAAGGGACTGAGATTCAAATCCGATAGTCTACCTCAAGAACTCGAGCTCTTAAACTCCATGCTGTCTGCTATTTTGAACAATTTCAATTCCTAAATTTAATCTTGCTTCCTGAAATAAGCTCTCTCCTCCCACTTCACATTTAAATAATTGGGATTGAACTTTATTCTTAGGTTATAGCTAATTTATGAGTTTAGATTTTAGCTAACATAAGTTTTGAAAGTAGTGAATTTCTTTTCGGTTAGTATCTTCAAGGACTAAGGGAACTACTATGTGCTGACTAATCACTGGGGGCATCATAAACTTCTTTCCAGTAAGCCTATAGGCTGTATGCATCATGTCTCAAGGCTTGTCTTTAGCCAGCTAACTTGGTTTGTAGGGCGTTTGTTGACTGAGAAATGCTGATCATGTAATGACCTCAGTTTTTTATTTGAATAAGGGTGATGTTGACACTATGCTTTGGTTTCATCATGATCACCGTCAATGTTAATTCTAGTAGTTATCATACAAGTGGAAAGTTGAATACTCTTGCTAACACTGGGGAAAAACTATCACTGGATATCTCTATCATATTGTATGTTAACTCTGTGCGTTCAGGTGTCCTTTGTTATCTAAGATAACAGTCAATTCTTGAGGATTTTACAAAGCATTTCACTATAATCCGTTTATTAAAGAAGACACCAAATTCCTAGTATTGAGATTAGAATGTTTCAGATTGAATTCTCAAATCCTAGATTAGCTTTTGCATTCTACTAGATTTTGGTGTATATGGGTTTTGACATGGGTTACATTTATATATCAGAATGTTTAACAGCTTTTAAAAGAATATAGGTACATGGGGTCTTGCCAGACTTACTGAACCATTTCTCTGGGAACAGGCATAATTTTGAAATGTCCCCTAGGTGATTCTGAAGCCTCCCTCTGGTTAAGAACCTCAGACATAAGGGATAATCATTTAATCAATACTTATTGAGGTCTTACTGTTTGGCACAGTAGTCTAGTCTCAGGGGACAAAATATAGGGAAGCCTGTTACTACCCATGAGGATGTCTTCTTTGAGTGAAGGAAACGAGCATGTAAACACATAAATTGGTATTTGTCACTCTATACAGCTTTTCAAAATTATTATAAATCAAGTAAGGGAAGCATTTTTTTAAAATAAGGGGAATCGTTATTCCAATGTCAGATTTACCAATTATTAAAGATAGGTTTATTTAAATGCCTTTCCGTACGATATTATATATATATAGTTATATATATATTTTTCACTGTTTAGTGTGTTTTTTATAACTAATTCCCTTTCCAAGACAAATTAGTGTTAACAAAATTAAATGATTTTTATTTCACTGGAAATTTTGTGCTCTTGAGCTAGTTTTGCTACCATAACAATGATCTTATTTCAAAATTGTATAGTGTAATGAAAAATGGGTATGTTTAGTGAGTATATCATTTGTTGGTCTATGTTGTTAGATGAGATTTAGTCTCAAAATGGTACCCTCGGTCCTGTTACGTGGGGAGGGGAAAAGTTCAAATGAGTATTTTATACTTTGCCCAAACATCGGATTTTTATCTCCAACTATACTTTGAACATAATGTTGTATCATTCAGAGACTTCCAGCCAGCTTTTCTT